CAGCAAACACCTGACCCGACGCGGCTACCTGACCAGACTCAGCAACCGGAGGAGACACGGTAGTCAGGGTGTATAGGCTCGACCCAGGCTGACGGATGAACGTGGCCAGGTGCCGGCCCGTCCGAGTACACGAACAGTGGGTCACCCGCTGACCTCTAGGAGTGAACTGGTCAACCCACGCGTCCTGAAGGTCAGCTCCACTCACCAAGTTCGTGGAGAACGAGGGGAGGTGGAGGCCAGAAAGTGAGCCAGACGGGACCGCCGGACACGGCAGGACCATGGAGGAGTGTGCAAGGACCGGACCCCCAGAGGGGTCAGCCAGAGAGACTGCCACTGGCCGACTGAGCGGCGAGAGTGTGGTGCAGTCGCGAAAGAAGGAGCGTGAAGCACCCGAGTCAAGGGCGAAAGTGTGCAAGATTTGAGCCGACGCGGTACCTGAGAGAGTAGCACCTGGAGCAGCAGACTCACTAGCACCTAGAGCAGCAGCCTCAATGCCCGGGTCGGGCGGAACACACAGGTAACAGTCACCCTCAGCACTAATAGTCACAGCATACATAGCAACAAGGATAGCATCATAGTCAAGATCAAAGATAGCAACCGCCGACTTAAGCAGATCACCCCAGCGAGGAAGCTCTGTGGCGTCAGGACACTGTGCACGCCAGGCGTCAGTCAGGCGGCCGAAACAGCACTGCGTGGCGTGCGGGTCGCCGCATGTCTCGCCACTGCGCTCGCCGGTGCGGAGAACGTAAGCGCAGGGACCAGCACCCCCAGACCTCCCACGCCCAGCGTACCACTCACGAAGCTGCTGGGGCGACAGGGTCTCACGAGGGCGCTGCTGCTGCTGGCGCTGGCCGCCGCCAAAGCCTCCCCGCTGCACAGCGCCACCCCGACCAGCACCACCGCCGCCGCGACCCCCACCGCCACCGCCCCCACCGCCACTTCCACCCCCACTGCCGCTGCCTCCGCCGCCTCCACCTCCACCACCGCTACCGAATCCCCCACTCCCGCCACTACCCCCACCTCCACCCCCACCCCACCCCCTCCGCCGCCTCCACCGCCACCACCGCCGCCCCCGCCATCCCCTCCAGCACCCTTGCCCCCCTTGCTCCTCGCCGCTGCGGCGACTCCCACTAGGAGCAGACGCAGCGCCGACCGACTCGGTGCCAACGAGGTCGATAGCAGCAGCATAGGCAACAGAGGGCAAAAGAGGGACGGGGGAGCACCCCTCAAAGAAAGGGGCACGAGGGTCACCACGAGAGGCTCCTACAGCGACTATACTCTTCTCTGCTGCAAGGAGGCGCTCCTCGAGGAGGTCAACGGTGAGCGTGGTGGGGCAAAGGAAGAGGAAGTGGTCCCTGACCGAGCGAAGGGATTCAGGGAGCCGGGTGACGAGGTAGTAGAGAGTGATGTACATAGGGGGGGGGTTCGCGGCGCAGAACTCGGCAGGAAGCGCAGCGCGGTAGCGGGTGTCACTAGAGCGGAGGTGCGTGATGAGGTCAGCGACTGTGGCAAAAGCGGCTAGGTCAGGGAACAGGTACGGCAGCATGAGGCGGCTAAGGGCTGTTAGAGACTAAGGACGGAGTCTAGAAGCTTAGGAGCCGAAATTATCACAAAATCGTTGGCTTAGAATTCTGGACAGAAACGTCGACTTCACAAGAAACGTTGTCGACAAAAGGTGCACTGTTAGAATCCCACGAATTTCGAATATGTTGTAGCCCTAGACCGTGGCTACATTTCCCAATTGGAATCGTATCAAAATATGAAATATATCTTGAGTTATGCTTTTCGGCGCACTAGGGGGTATGCTGCCACAGAAATTTAACTCAATCACAATTAACTCACAAGTCCCACAAAAGAACATTGGAGTAGCACTAAACCAGGCAACAAACTTTGACCTTTGTCACTTTCCAACCCATGCCATCCACCTCACCCCAACTTGGCCACACTTGCCAACCTGGTTTGGCTTCACCCAACCTCTTGGCAGCATCTACAGTGATGGGTTCGAATTTCCCAACCCCAAAAGTCTATACCCCATAATGAGTCAACCCCACAACTTCCAAAGTAGCTGCAACCAAAATATATAAGCATACGAACTCCAATGTTCGTAACTTTCTTGGTTGTGCTCCGATCGCGACGATTCTTGGTTCGTCGGAAAGCTCTTGAGCAGAGGAATCACTTCAGATACCTGCTCAAGCCAAATAACATTCACACACACACAGAAAATCCAAACCACACAAGACACAAATTTCTTGCACACGCTCACACCACGCATGCAACGCACAAACACATGATGGGAGGCAGACAGACGTGAATGCATATGGTTGCATCACACAACAAGGGCAGCAGTGGCAGGGGAGGAGTAGCGCGCAACAACAGCGTCGTACAGAGTCCTAGCGGTCTTGTACTGGCTAAAGTGCGCGCGCTCAGCAGACGGCAGGTGACTAAGGACAGCTAGGCGAGCAGCAGCATCGCGTGTGGTCCACTGTGAGCGAACTGCACTGTCAGCATCGGCAGCAGGGGCAACAGCAACGCCGGACGTGTGATCGAACAGTGAGACTCCGTCCCTAGAGTCAGACTGCAGGAAAAGCTGCAGATTATTGACCCAGACCTCGAAATCGACCGCTCGACCCTCAGCATCGAAGGTAAGGACATTAGGGCTAGCCATGACAGCAGGAGCAGCAGCAGTAGCCTAGCAGCAGCAGCAGCAGCAGCAGTAGGAGCAGCGCGACTCGGCAGGGCGGCGCGGCTCGCAAGGGTGGCGCGGATGCGGCGGTGCGCTTACCAGGGCGGGATCAGGGTAGGGCCACAACTAGAAGAGCAGGGCCGTGGCGCACCGGCAGGTCAGGGCCGCGTCAGGCAGGGGTGCAGGTCGGCGGCGCGGGCGCAGGGTAGGGCCGCCAACGGCGGCGGTAGGCAGGGCCGCAACAACGGCAGTAGGCAGGGCCGCGACTGCGGCTGTAGGAAGGGCCGCGGCAGCTGCAGGCAGGGCCGCGACCTCGACAGGACAGGGCCGCGATGGCGCCCGGGCAGGACCGCGACAGCTCCAGGCAGGGCCGCGACGACAGGGAGTGAGGGCCGCGACGGCAGGGCGGCAGGGCCGCGACGGCAGGGGCCGCGACGGCAGGGGCCGCGACGACAGGGGCCGCGACGGCAGGGGCCGCGACGGTAGGGGCCGCGACAGCAGGGGCCGCGACGGCGTCAGGCAGGGCCGCGGCGGCAGGGGCCGAGACGGCAGGGGCCGCGACGGCAGGGGCCGCGACGGCAGGGGCCGCGACGACAGAGCAGGCGCACGGGGCGCATGTGAGGCAGGCGCGAGGCGCGCGACAGGGGAAGGAGCGCGCTTCGGGCAAGGCAGGAAAAAAAAATATTGGTGGGCCCTTAAAAAAAAAAACCGGTCCCACTAGGGAACCCGCTCTATACCATGTGAGAAAAGTACGAGGAATGTGTGGACTAGAAAGGAGATGGGTACAAGTATGAAAACCTAGAAAAGCTGTACCCCAAAATGTCTACCCCAATACAGCCTACACAGGCTATATCATATATGTTTTGTCAACGGGAGTTGTGTGTTGGCCCCGTCCTTGCTTGGGCATAGCCGACTTCGTGGTCGGATGTGAGGGGAGCAGCCGACTTGCAGCAGTGGGCGAGCTGGTCGACAAGGAGGTCGACCTGCACGGGGACCACTGCACGGAGCCGACTTCAGTATGAAGCCGACTTCAGGGAGGTCGACCTGGGAAGTCGACCTACGGAGGACGTCAACTTGGTGACGTCAACTTGGGGCAGCCGACTTGGGTGGTCGGCTGACAGGACTGCTGGTCGACCTGGTGGTTGGTCGACCAGGCCTGCTGGTCGACTTGATGGTAGGTCGACCAGGCGTGATGTCGACCTAGTGGTCGACCTGACCTGGTGGTCGACATAGGAGGGGCCGACGTCGGCCACAACTCAGGACGCCGAGCAGCAGGGCGTCGAGTGGTTGGGCGTCAGCTTGGTGACGCCAACTTCGGGTAGCCGACTTGGGTGGTCGGCTGACAACTGAGCTGGTCGACCAGGAGTGACGTCGATCTGGAGCTGGTCGACCAGGGGCGTGGTCGACCTGGTGAGGTCGACTTGGGGTGGTCGTCGACTTGGGAGGTCGACGGGCACATACAGGAGCAGCTGGTCGACGTGGTTGCCCGGTCGATCAGGTTACCTGGGTGACGAGGTTCTGCGAAGGAGTGCGACGGTCGCCCAGGCGAAGTTGGCGAGTCCGACCTCGGTGGTGGTATCCCGAGGTCGACATGGCGGATCAAGTGCGGTTGTCATCACGAGGACGACCTGGTGTGTGCGTTGTGCAGGTGACGAGGCTTAGCCCGCCAATCACCTGCGAGCACCTGCGAAGTAGTTGCGCTGCTGTTCTGCGGGAGCAACGCTGGCACGCCGTCAACCTGCAGCGTTGGCACGCCAACGACTTTGCACTGCTGGAGCGCGGTCGACCAAGTCGTGCTGGAACGCGGTCGACCATGCTGTGCTGGCAGTCGACCGACCTGAATGCTAGTCCTGATGTAGTCTTGCCATGCCAACTTCATTTGTACCAGTGTTGTCAACTTTCTCTAGTGAAACTCTTGCCAACTTGCCCCGTGAACTAGCAAGTAGTGTGTGCACTAGGAAAACGACTAAGGACCAACGAACGCAGAGATTACACGAGCACCCGTGCCTAGCCCGTAGTCTAGCTCCCGTTGTAGTAGTTTTCTCCGCATGTTTGACAGTATCAGGGGTGGAGGAAGTGGCTGCGGCTTCCCAGGGGCTGGCGCGTTCCAGTTCGGTGGTGTTGGTTTAGGAAGTGGAAGTGGGTCAGGCTTCGGGAGGTTTGGGCCGAGTGCAGGCAGAGGGTTTGGCATGGGAAGTGGTGCGCGGGGTTGTGGCGCCACAGGCTGCGGGAACACGCTTTGGGCACGTTAGTGGGCATGGTGCCCGCGGGGGTGTGAGGGCAGAGAATGCCGAGCTAGGGGGTCAAGCTGACGGAGATGAGGGTCCAGCGGCTCATGGGCAGGAGGACGGGGGAGACGTTGGCGGAGGCTCAGGTGACGACACCCTTGGAGGCTGTGACAATGGGATTGGAACGCAGGAATCCACGGCAGGGTTTGGGGCGGTCGGCATGGGACTGGGGACTCCTGGAGAAAATGGAGGTGTGGGCATAGGAATGGGGTCAGCTGGTTGAGAGGGAGGGGTTGACGTCGAGGTGGGGACTGGTGGAGGGTTGGGAGGTGTGGGAGTGCAGGTGGGGACAGGTGTAGGGGCTGGTGGTGTTGGCAGGGGAGTGGGGATAGGAGGAGGGGTTGGTGGTGTGGGCGTCCAGGTGGGGACTAGTGGAGGGGTGGGAGGTGTGGGCGTGCAGGTGGGGACAGGTGTAGGGGCTGGTGGTGTTGGCAGGGGAGTGGGGATTGGAGGAGGGGTTGGTGGTGTGGGCGTCCAGGTGGGGACTGGTGGAGGGGTGGGAGGTGTGGGCGTGCAGGTGGGGACAGGTGTAGGGGCTGGTGGTGTTGGCAGGGGAGTGGGGATTGGAGGAGGGGTTGGTGGTGTGGGCATGGGAGTGGGGACTGGTGGAGGGGTTGGTGCTTTGGGTATGGGCGTGGGGATTGGAGGAGGGGTTGGTGGTGTGGGCATCCAGATGGGGACTGGTGGAGGGGTGGGAGGTTTGGGCGTGCAGGTGGGAACTGGTGTAGGGGTTGGTGGAGTGGGCAGGGGAGTGGGGATTGGAGGAGGGGTTGGTAGTGTGGGCTGGGGATTGGGAACTGGTGGAGGAATGGCTCGAGAGGCAGGAATGCCAGGGTTCAATATGGGATGGGGGCCGGGAATAGGAAGAGGGGGTGTGTTTCGGTACGCAAATGTAGGCATGGGTGCGGGGAGCTACAACGGGGATTTGGGCACTGAATTGGGCCTCAACACTGGTGGACAGAATGTTGGGGTGGTGGTGGGGACCACGGACGCCAACGGACGAAGAGGGTCTGCTGCGGCACAAGAAATTGTAGAGTATCCTGTAGACGCGGATGAGCGAGATGGGGTCGGCGTGTCTGGTGGTGTGGGCGGGGGCTTCGGGACGAGCGTATCACCAGCGCCCACGCGCTCAGGTGCGGTGTTCAACCTGGCTGCGATACAGCAGAGGGCACGCCAACCGTACAGCGCGGAGACGATCAACACCGGAGTCAACGATGAAGCACCGCGCAGGCGTCGACGCGATTGGCGATCGTCTGCCTTTGATGAGGACGGAGGAGATGTTTTGAATGCTGGTCTCTCGCAAGTTTTGTCACTGCAATGGCCAAATACCGGATCTGGTGGAGATGCTCAACATGTGGGCACTGATGAGCCAGGTTTTGAGGGCGAGGATGACCCGGAACCGGAGGGTGCAGATGGTGGTGATGGGGAGGAGGGAGGCATTAGCGTTCAAACGGGATTCCATCGCAATCGGATGGGATCTAGGTACAGAATTGGGGGGATCCAACTGCTGCACTGGCCACGACTGTTTGCACCAACCCGTCGTTACGGAATATACACAAGCAACGCCGCGGAGACCCTCAATGGTGCTGTGAAAAAAATCCGGATGCTGCCCCCGACCTGGCTGCTGGCGTCATTATGGGACTGGTTTAGGGACAAGTGGGTCGAGCGTTACGAGGCAGCGTGTCGCAGGGACGAGCTCCTGACAGAGGCCGCAGTAACTAGGATGCAAATCAAGCGCACAAGGGCACAGGAGTACTGGTTTCTGGGTGGGACCAACGATGCCGGCACTATCCAGACTCGTGGGGGAGAGAACGAGACAGAATGGAGAAGTTACAACGTCAACCTCGTCACCTGTGCCTGTGAGTGTGGTAATTGGCAGTAGTACCAGTTTCCTTGTGCTCACGCGGTTGCCATGAGCATGCTGAAGGAGGAGGTGCCCAGAGATCCTCGTGTCCGACTACTACACGACCCACACACTCCGCACCAACGGACTGGGGGACTTGCGTGGACAAGCTGATAAGCGAAGCCCCAGTGGCGCCAGAGGGAGTCTGTGACGCTCCTTCTCTGGTTAACACCAGACCTGGACGTCCCGAGAACAACACCCGGGTGGAGGCCGCAACCCACACGCACTGGTGCGAGAGGTGCTAGGAGATTGGGCATAACCAAAGCCGGTGGAGGTGGAAGTTTGGATGGTACGCACAAGGGAATGGGACTAGGCGTGGTGCTGGGCGCGGGGGTCGGATTGGTGTGGGGCGTGGTGCTGGGTTTGCTGCTGGCACAGCTGGAGGCAGTGGCGAGGTGGATGGGGCTGGGTTTGGTGCCGGTTTTGTGTCGGGGATAGGAGCTGGTAGGGGTGCAGGGGCTGGTGTCAGAGTACGTCGACGTTCGACATATTTCTCATTTCTATATTTTTTCTTTATCGTATTCTCCTTATTTTCCTGTTTCATTTGCACTTTATTTCACATCAATCTTACTACTATTATATTTTCTAGAGCTTTCCAATTATTTCACTTATTTTTTATTTTCGGCACCGACAACTACGTTATACGGCACCGACAGCATCGACGGTGGTGTACAAAGCGTAATCTCGTCATAATCCAATGTGCCAATGGGCTTGCGTGCTTATGCGCACGAGTGATTATCTATCCTAGAAGAGTGCGTTCCCGAAGGTTCGCGTTATCACTTATTTCTGTGATTATCTTAGAGAGAGGCTCCAGACAACTGCAACAGCTGCGCATGGGGAACCAACAACGGAGCGTGGAAGATCGACCTTCCAACGACGACATCGTCCTCTCTCAGAATAACCAGCCCACGTCGACCAACCGGTCCCCACGGAAGAAGTCGGTGGCGCTGAAGCAGCTCAAAAGGGAGCTGGAGGTCAACATGAAGCTGCGACGACCTCAAACCTCCTCTACAGATGCATCTGCAACATCTAACATACGAAGGAATTCTACTACGAGCTCGAGAACCACGTCGTCCACGAAAACAAAAAATCATGGCAATTGGGAAAGGCCGGACCGGCCATCTGCCACCCCAGGAGATGACACGCAGCTACGGGATATGCCCTACGATCCAATCAGCGAGACGATCAACGGGTACAGCGAGCGACGCCAACCACTTCTGCTCGAGGTGATCTGCAATGGACGTCGCCTCCAAGCACTCGTGGACAGCGGAGCATCCCATTCTGTATGCTACAAGGCGACCCTCGAACGCATTAATGAGGAGTGCACGCCTTCAAACTTTACAGCTACGATGGTTGACGGGAGCAAGTTACAAGTTTACGGCGAAGTAGCATTACACCTTCAGATGGGTCCTCTTCGCTGGAAACCGACCCTACCTGTCACCAACATTAAAGGGCTAGACTTGATTCTTGGAAGTTCAAGAAGTTCTCAAGAAGTTCAACCCCGAGATCAACTGGGTCACCCGCACGGCGAGCATCTACAATCAAGACAGAAGCGTTCCACTTCCGAGTTGGAGCAACACGGGAGATATTCCGGAGGAGACTCTTGCACGCTTCGAGAAGGACGTGAAAAGAACCATGGCAAGGTTCGTCGCACTTATTATAGACGAAGATGAAGCAGGGAAGAAAGCACCTGAGCTTCCACCTGCTATCGAGAAACTTCTGGAGGAGTTCAAAGACGTTCTTCCTGACGACCTTCCAGACCAGTTGCCGCCATACCGAACCCACCAGCACGAGATCGTCGAAGAACCTGGTTCGAAACTGACCTTCCGAGCACCATATCGACTCAGTCCTACCAAATTGGCTGACATGAAGAAGCAGATTGAGTACCTCCTAGAAAAGGGACTCATTCGACCATCGACATCACCATACGGTGCACCTGTGCTCTTCACGCCAAAACCTGACGGAAGCTTACGCATGTGCATCGACTACCGAGCTCTCAACAAGCAGACGATAAAAAATAAGTATCCCATTCCTCGGATCGATGACCGGCTTGACCAGCTTCGGGGAGCCACTGTATTCTCAAAACTTGATCTGAGATCGGGATACTGGCAGATACGGATGGTGGACAATTCGATCCACAAGACGGCATACCGGACACGATACGGATCCTACGAGTACCTCGTCATGCCGTTCGGTCTCACCAACGCACCCGCTACATTTCAGGCCGAAATGAACCATATTCTCAGGCCTCTACTCGACGAATGCGTGGTGGAAACACAGCCCAAACACCGCGGTGGCCGCGTGTTGGGTGGAGGCTTTTAGTGATCGGCATGATGTCACAGGTACGTGTGTGAGGCACGTGCAGAACAATGCTTGGAAAAGTATCCAGAAGTTCATACTGTTTCTTAGAAGTGTCCAGAGGCGGCTCAATAGTATTACTCTTGATTCATACTATTCCCACATTGCTCTTGTGAATTCCTGGCCATGCAACTCATTTTATTGCTTGTGTGACCTAGTGAATAAATCAAGTAGATGCTTGTTGTGTTTCTCTGCATGTTGCGCCCGCCCGCGTGTCGCACACACTGCCTATGCAGTATACAGCAGGGCAGGAGGGGCAGTGGGTGAGCAAGGCCTATCCTGGCCTGTGTGAGCGCTTGCTCTCCAACTCTCAGACGCTGGTAGGTGCTGGGGTATGTGTGTGTTTGAGGGTTGATTGTTGAGCTGACACAAACGTACAATGCAGGGCAGGAGGGGCAGTGGGTGAGCAAGGCCTATCCTGGCCTGTGTGAGCGCCTGCTCTCCAACTCACAGACGCTGGGTCGGGGGGTTGTTGAAACGGCAATCCAGCGCACCTCAATGCGCTCTTTTGTTCGTTCTGAGGGGTTGGACTGGATTAGGTGGGGCAGCGAAACCCACTTATCCTCGTCACAATATCACCTCAATGCCAAGCGATTCCTGCACTACGCTCACCGCACCACCGGTTCTCTCTCACTTATGCCTTCCATATGTGTTGTGGTCCATGTCCTATATTGCGAACATGCCCTACCTGCTTGTTTCCATGCCCGCTTTCCCAGGTCGGGTTTTTGCTGCTGCACTACCCGCATCTCTCCCACTCCGTCCTTCCCATCCGCCTCGTTTACATGCTAGCTCTCTCTCTCTCTCTCTCCCTTCGCTTCTCTCCCTGCTCCTTCCTACCCTCACCTCCCCAGGTTGGGTTCTTCCTGCTGCACTACCCGCAGCTGTGGCGCACGCACTTTCGCCTCCCATCCGGCACCCAACCCCACCTGTCCTGTACCCCTTCTCCTTTCTCACTCATCGTCACCATGCCCTCCCACCCTTGTTTCTCAGGTTGGGTTCTTCCTGCTGCACTACCCGCAGCTGTGGCGCTCGCACTTTACCAAACTGGTCACCCTGTACCAAGCAGGGCTGCTCAAGGTGGGTTGGCGAGGGCAGTAGCGGGGTTGATGGGGGCTGATTTTCTTTCCGCCAAGCTGTCTACCTTCTGAGAAATCTCTAGAGGCAGCCGTTATTTGGAGTTCTCAACAACTGCCAGTAGCGGGGGCGATGGGGGCTGCTTCTCTTTGCTCCGAGCTCATTACCTTCTCTCTCTCGTGTTATGCTTGTTGCGGATGTTAAGACGTGCTATACCTCCCTTCTCATACGCTGCGCCCTCGTCTCTCTCACTTCTCTCACGCTCGGAATCCTGAGACGTCTCAACAAAACCTTCCTTCCCGCATCGTCACATGTGGATCAAAATCCTGCAATTTTATAGGCACTTCATTATTCGTATTGAAATCTTCCGTCCTACCTAATCGCAGGTGGCTCTGGATCCAACGCCGTTCAAGGGCCTGCCTGCAGTTACGTCAGCAGTGGAGCACCTGCAAGCTGGGAGAAGCGTGGGCAAGGTGGGTGCGGGAATTGGGTGAAGTTGAATATTAACTTTTGATAGGAGCTAATGAAATATACCCTCTGTGATGCGCGTTTTGCTTTTCCAAATCCTCTCTTTGTAAATGTGTTATCTCCATCCCTTGGTTGACTTGTTAATTTTCAGGTTGTGGTAGAGATAAGTCCACGTGGGAATGTGTCACCTTCACCTCGCCTTTAGCTCTGGCTGGTAACATTGGAGCACAAACTTTCCCGTCGATGTGGTTGTATCTTATACAGCAATGATGTCTTGGTTTTGTGCGAGGTTGCTTGCAACATATGGCATGGCTGAGCTGCACTGGCTGGGAAACTTGGTTAGAAATTTGGCTTGGTGTGATTAGCTTAGGTCATCGACTAACGTGTACAGAAGACGGTAATAAATTTGTATCGGACTCATCTGAAAGCGAATTTTTGTCAGACATTCCCGAACATCCCAGCGCAATTCGGTCGTCAGAACGGATTTGTCAGTGTCGTCGAGGGGGGTCGTCAAAGCCGGGCCTGACGAGGCGGGCAAATGACGCACGTGCGGGCCCACCAGCCTAGCCCAGGGCTGGGCCGAGCGCACGACCGCCGCCCCGCAACCCCGCTCCAAAACTGAACAGCGACCCACGTTACCGGGTGGGGTCGGCGAACTGGCGACCCCTCGCGCGAGGGAAAGTAACCCTCGCGCGAAGGCAGCCCACCCGTGCCACCTGTCCGCGAGGTCCTAGTAACCCATCGCGGCCTGCCCGGACGGGCAGGCGAGGGCCAGGCAAAAATTCGGGGGCCCTCTCGGGACATTCGACAATTTCGCGACCCGTTGCGGTGACGCCACGTGTTCGCCCGCTACTTCGCATCGGGCGCATGCGGAATTTCGGCCGTTGCGAAATCGATCTTGATCGCTTCGCGGCGCACATTTTTCGCGATCCGCTGCGAAATCGACACGTGTCGGAGGAAATGACGCACCGCGCACATGCGAAATTGCGTCCCATGGCCGAACGAGGCCAGGGGACGTGACATCGACTTGCTGGCTCGGCGGCGAATGAGAACTTGTGCCACTTGTGCATGCACGAGCCCGCCAAACCCTGCCGAGCCAGGCACCACGAATCCTGGGCGATGTCACCAAACCCTGCCGAGCCAGGCACGACTAGCCCTGAGCGAGGCCTCAACCTGCCTGTGGGACACCGACTCCCTGTTCTTTACGGAAGGAGGCATCGCTCCTCATTTTGGTCATTTCGTTTCTCGTTTTACAAAATTGCCCATCTCTGCGCCTTACTCCCACAGTCTCCTCCATTAGCCTGTAGTCACTTCCCCACCCCGCCATGGCGGCCGAAGCGAAAGCCGGCGAGGCGGCGCCAACTTCGCAGGACTTCCCTCTATATCTCGACCTGGGTAGCGGGCTCACTTCCAAGCTCTTTGAACACGACTTCGCCGTCCTCGCCGACCATAGGCTAGAGTTCGCCGCACGTTGCTTGGGATTCGGCCTCAAGTGAGTCTCCGTATATGGATGTCGGTGTCGTCCTATTGATACCTAGATGGTCGACGCAGCGTAGACGCCGACTTAAGGTGCCAGGGATATCTAGTTCTTTGATTTCACCAACACGTCGGTGTCGGCACCTGGTTGTGCCCGCATCGCTAGGCTACATTGACTACCATGGCGTTAGGGTGGTGCACCGTCATTTTATTGCCATTCCCCGTCGGTTGGCGGTTCCTTTACCGACGTATCCAACGGCCTGTCGTTAACCTCCCCACTCACCCTTAATACCCATGTGTGCGTGCAGGCGATCATGGACTATCGCGATGTTGGGCAAGATGCGACTGTGGTCGATAGGAATCGGCCGGCTTCGGGCGGCGATGGGTCAGGACGACCACACATGCTTCGCGATGGTTTTCGACGCCGACGTAGCAGTTATCTCCCTGCATTCGGGGTGAGCTGGTTTAACGAGTCGTAATGCTGTGCCACGCATCTTATGTCGGTGCTTTGGTCTGAACGAATTCGTCGTGCCTTGCCTGTGCAGCATCGCACCGCTTCCAGGAGCACATTGCAGCTTCGTTGTCATCATCTACCCCGGCGACTTGTTGAAGGCCGGGGGGGAGAAGATCAGGACCTCGATCCGGCACGTGGACCCGCATTGTGAGGATCTAGGATCGAGCTCAGAAAAGAGAGTTTGAATTGAATGCTCACCTGGGTACAACACGAGGCTATATATAGGCTCGACACAAGGGGCAGTAACCAGGTGTTACGCGAAGGTTCCGAGGGTCGCGAAGCGTCCGGAACAGACCCTTCCCGAATTCGGTAGAAGGCAATTCGGTGGCAACCGAATAGCCCAGAATTCGGTGTACGCAACCTAGCTCGGTGCTATAACTATAATAAAATAAAGGAAAGCACCTAGCCTAGGAAATCAAGCAATTCATGCATGCAAAAAATAAACCTAAGCTAGTAATAGCGTAATAAGATAAAAGCAAGTATGCATGGCTGGCATAAGCCGTCGCACTCTCACACGTCCCCCCCTCAAAGCTGGGTGGCGTGAGATACACCTTGCTTGACAAGATAGTCCTTGAGAGCACGGCGTACGTTGCCCATATCAGCTTCTGCAACCCAACTGTCCTCAGTGGGGTCGTATCCCTTCCAGCGAATCAGGAACTCGAGGGTCTTGCCGCCGCGGCGCCGATGAGTGAGGATGCGCTCCACTTCGTACTCGGGTTCATCCTGTACGAGAACAGGTGGTGGTGGCGGTAACTGCCATCCCTGGAACTGTTGGTTGGGGTCCTTGTAGGGTTTCAGTAGCTGAACATGGAAAGCATTGTGAAGCTTCCACGTATCTGGTAAGCGCAAGCGGAATGTAACTGGTGTCACCTGTGCCTCCACGAGAAAAGGACCACAGAAGCGAGGCCGGATCTTGGATGGTAGGTGAGACAGGTTCAAGTTGCGCGTGTCAAGAAGCACCTGATCTCCGACTGCTACTGAGTGATCACGTCGCTGGCGATCGGCATACCGCTTCTAGGAGTTCTGCATCGTGGTGAGACGTCGCTGAGTCTTCTCCCATAGCTGCTGCATGGTGGTGACAAAGTCATGTGCGGCTTGGACGTGTGCCGGTGTGGTTGGCTGCTGTGGTGTAAGTGGTTCCCGTCCATAGCACAGGAAGAACGGGGTTTTCCCTGTGGTCGCATGCGAGGCGTTGTTGTAGGCGAACTCTAAGGTCGGTAACTGTGTGTCCCAGTGGCTGATGTCGTCTTTGCAAGCTGTGCGCAGTAACTGTTCAACCACCTGATTGATTCGCTCTGTCTGTCCGTCAGTCTGGAGATGGTATGCTGAAGACATCGCAAGCTTAGTGCCCAACAGTCCCATGAGCTCCTTCCAGAACTTACTCGTGAATTTTGGGTCTCTGTCTGAGATGAGTGTAGCGGGGATGCCGTGGATGGTGATGATGCGATCGAAGAAGAGCCGAGCAGTTGCTTCAGCAGTAGCTGTGGCGTTGGTCGGTATGAAGTGACCCATTTTGGAGAACTTATCGATGACTACGAGGATGGAATCGTGTCCCCGTGAGGTCGAGGGAAGTCCTGTGATGAAGTCGAGACTAACGACCTGCCATGGCTGCTTCGGTACGGGTAGAGGCTGAAGTAACCCTACTTTCTTCTGCTTGCTACTCTTCATCCGCTGGCACGTGTCGCAAGAGGTGACGAACTGCTGCACGTCTGCTGCCATCCGAGGCCAGTAGTAATGCTTTGCTCTACCTGCTAACGTCTTGTTGCTCCCGAAATGCCCCGCGTATGGTACGTCATGAAACTCCTCTAATAGGATCTGCCGTAGCGGGGCATAATTCGGTACCCAAATCTTTCCTGAACCCTTCCTTACCGCTAAGTTTTTCTCCCACTGTAATAGCTTCTGTTTCTCTACCGTTGCTATCTCGCCGTCCACGGAGTACCCATGTTGGAATAGACCCTTGAGCAGAGGGTTGATCCCGTCGAGCTGGATGCCTGCTACATGACCGGGGCGGCTCAACGCGTCAGCTTTGCTGTGTAGCCCGGGTTTGTAGACGTTGTCGTAGTGGAAGTGGGTCTCCAAGAAATCCACCCACCGCACCTGTCGTCGTGAGAGTGTGGGCTGCGACTTCAGGTATTTGAGGCTGCAGTGGTCCGTATAGACTATGGTCTTGGCTCCCTCAAGGTAACACCTCCACGCCTTGAAGGCTACGACTATAGCTAAGGCTTCCTTGTCGTGGATAGGGTAGTTCAGTTCTGCTTTGTGTAGCTTCTTACTGAGGTAGGCGATAGGCTGTAAACCGTTTCCGTGGTCCTGCATCAGTACTGCTTTGACTGCCTGGTCACTAGCGTCTGCTTCAACTACGTAGTCTCTCTCGGGATCCGGTAGGATGAGTACTGACGCTGTGGTCAGTGCTGTCTGTAGCTGTTCCATGACTTGCTGATGAGGAGCACCCCATTTGAAGGGCGTGTCCTTTTTCAGTAGGTCGGTCAGTGGCGCTGCTATCTTAGCGTACTGCGGCACGAACCTGTTGTAGTAGTTGGCAAAACCTAGGAACTGCTGCAACTCCTTCACGTTCTTCGGAACTTTCCACTTCTTAACGGCTTCGATTTTCCGCGGGTCCACGTGTACTCCCTCGGCACTCACCATGTGCCCGAGAAACTGCACCTTCTTCAGTGCGAAGTCGCTCTTCGACAGCTTCACGTAGAACTTATTTTTCCGCAGGATCTCGAACACCTTCCATAGATGCTCCACGTGCTCCTTCATGTTCTTGGAGTAGATGAGGATATCGTCCAGGTACACTACTACGCAATCGTCCAGCAGGGGCCGTAGGATGTGGTTCATCTCTGCCTGGAATGTCGCTGGTGCGTTGCAGAGTCCGAACGGCATCACCAAGTATTCGTAGGAGCCGTATCTCGTACGGAACGCCGTCTTGTGGATCGAGTTGTCCGCCATCTTTATCTGCCAGTAACCCGACCGTAGGTCCAGCTTCGAGAAGACTGTTGCACCACGCAGTTGGTCCAGTAAGTCGTTGATGCGCGGTATGGGATATTTGTTTTTAACTGTCTGTTTGTTCAGTGCGCGGTAGTCGATACACATCCGTAAACTGCCGTCTGGTTTTGGGGTGAAGAGAACTGGTGCTCCGTAGGGAGAGGTGGATGGGCGGATCAGTTGTCTGTCCAGTATATACTCGATCTGTTTTTTCATATCTGTCAGTTCGGTCGGACTCAGTCGGTATGGTGCACGTGAGACGGGTTTCGCACCTGGTTCCTCCACGATCTCGTGCTCGTGGGTGCGTGCTGGAGGTGCGCCTGCGGGTAGGTCGTCGGGCATTATATCCTTGTACTGCTCCAAGACCTCCTTTACTACTGTAGGTAGCTCGGAACTCGGCTTTTCCTCTTCTGCCGCTGCCATGACCAGTGCTAAGTAACCCGTGTTACTCTCGTTCACCGTCTGTTCGAACCGTGCCAGTGTCGTTTCAGGAATGTCTCCTGTATCCGTCCAGCTTCGTAGTGCTATCCGCTTCCCGTTGTTGTAGATGCACACCTTGCTGTTGTCCCAATCGATCTCGGGGTTGAACCGCTTCAAAAAATCCCGCCCCAAGATAAAATCTAATCCTTTGATGTTGGTGACTGGTAGCTTCGGCTTCCACCTCAACGCACCTATATGCAGCTGCAGTAATGCTTCGCCGTGGATAGGAAGCTTCGTACCGTCCACCATCGTTTCTGCGAATTGGGTCTCCTCCGCCTTCTCTCCAATTTTCTCCAATGTTCCGCGGTCACACACCGAGTGAGATGCACCGCTGTCCACCACTGCCTGGAGGCGTCGCCCATTGCATAACACCTCGAGGAGTAGTGGTTTCTGCTGCGCTGAGTAGCCAAAGAGGGTCTCATTAATAGGATCATAGGGTACATCAAAATGAATACCTTCCCTATTTCCTATACCTAACTCAGCACTAATCTCTTCCAACTTCACCTGGGGGGTAGGAGGATTTTTTCGAGGCTTGTATAACTTCTCCTGAGCCTGGAATTTTCCTCTAAGCCTTTGCAGCTGTTTAGGCTTCACCTGTGGGCAACGGGGAGCCTTAACACTATGCTGCGGGGAGAGAATATTAGCTCCACGGAACGCACGACCCTTTCCTACGCTCCGTAGTACTTTGCCCAACTTCTCAGGTACCTGAATAATTTCTAAAGGCTTTTTCTTGGCCTCTAAATCTCCCCTGAATTTTTCAAAGGCTTGAAAACCACGAGAAGCAATATTTTTCGTTAGAGTATCTTTATAGGATACTTTTAACGAATTCTTACTTTCGTGGGTGTTCGGCTGGAGTTTCCCGGTCGGTGCAGAGTCTTTTTTCGCGGAGCTTCCATTCGCCTCGGCGATTTCCCCTGATGCCGGCCGGTCGTGGCGTTTCAGATTCGCGCCATCATGTTCTCCTTTTTTCACCCGCTCCGAAGTCGCCACGTCGTCGCCTTTTTCTGCTTTTCGGATCTTTACGCGATCGCCAGGTCGATCCGCGGCTACTGGCGATTGTCGTTTTTTTACTTCGGGGGTGCTCCACTGTTACCGTCCCGGAGTGCCGCACGTGCCTTTTTCATTTTGTAGCACGACGAAAACTGATGCCCTGCTACGCCGCAAAACTTGCATTTTGTCGGCTGCTGCTTCGCGTCGTATTTGTCGATATCCTTCGGTTCGGCGAACGTGGGGGGTGCCGATCGCTCCATGCCGAATGTACGGTTCGGCGCGAAACGTCGTGTTTCGGGTTGACCTCGAGTCAAAGCGTCGTATCGCTCGGCAGCACGCACGATGTCGCGATAACTGTTGTAATTCGCCGCAATCACCTGCCGCCGAATCTCCAATTTTAACCCTTCTGTGTACGCCTGGATTTTTTCGCCTTCGGTCAGGTCGGTGATGTGGTTGAACAGTAGCTCCATCTGCTGCGTGTACTGTGCTACACTACTGTATTGCTTGTGTCAGTGTATCTGCTGCCGCGCCATGTAGGTCGTATTAATCGGTTCGAAATGTTCGATTAAATCTGCCCAAAACTGCGCGCACGATTTCTCCCCGCGGGCCACGTCAGTGTAATAAATCCACTCGACTGCCGGTCCATGTAACAGTGTCGCTGCGAGCCGAATCCTTGCTGCGTCGTGTGTCGGGGTCGAACAGCCAATGGCCTCGAAGTAAATCTCGAGGGTGGCCACGAATCGCCGGACGTCGGATCCCTTCGCGCTGGGATCAAACGCTTCAGGGAGCCTCGGTCGTGTTGCTTCGAGGTTCGGCGACAGTGGTGCCATCGGTCCGTGAAATGTCGGTGTCGCCACTGCTGCTGGTGCCGTCGCTGCTACGTTCGCTGTTGCGTTCGCTGCTGCTGTGGTGGCGATTCCTGGTTGGTGTGTCAGAAGGGCCTCGAGTCGTCGTAGCGCCACCTGCGTCTGCTCCATGTCGGTGCGGAGGCTCGCGATGTCGCTCGTAGTCGCATAGTTGTCGCCTTGGCCCTCCATGCCTGACATTGCGCGTCCGAAAAAACCGAAACGAGGGGGAGCGAAAAACACGGAACCGGTTTTACGTACCCGAAATCGATGTTTAACTGCGTCGCCCCCGCGGTTTTTGAAGACTCGGTTTTCAGCGGTCGAAAAACTTTCGCGTATAAACGGGCCTGATTACCAAGTGTGAGGATCTAGGATCGAGCTCAGAAAAGAGAGTTTGAATTGAATGCTCACCTGGGTACAATACGAGGCTATATATAGGCTCGACACAAGGGGCAGTAACCAGGTGTTACGCGAAGGTTCCGAGGGTCGCGAAGCGTCCCGAACAGACCCTTCCCGAATTCGGTAGAAGGCAATTCGGTGGCAACCGAATAGCCCAGAATTCGGTGTACGCAACCTAGCTCGGTGCTATAACTATAATAAAATATGGGAAAGCACCTAGCCTAGGAAATCAAGCAATTCATGCACGCATAAAATAAACCTAAGCTAGTAATAGCGTAATAAGATAAAAGCAAGCATGCATGGTAGGAAGTGGGAGTGGCCGAAGCCGGCCGACGAAGAGGTCATCGACAGGCTCGCCGACTGCGATTCACCCCTTCGAGATGTGAGTTCCGATCGACTTACCCTCATTTAGTGTGTCCCTCTTGCGCCATGCGATTGCCTAACGTGGAGCTCATCCGTTCTTTCTGCATTGTTGTATGCAGAAAGTGCCCGACGTCGTCCGGGACGGGTACGCGGGCTCCGGCCTGCTAGCAATGAGCGCGTTGTGCTGGGTGGTGAGGAGGCTGGAACGTCTGACCGGCGACCTCCATCGCAGTGAGACCAGCATGGACAAGGTCAACATTACGGGGTTGAAGGCGCTGCGGAATGAGATGATAACGTTCGTCAAGGAGCACGTCGCCCAGAAACGGGCGGGTCATGTCGGAATTGTGGCCGACGCCTGTGACGACGACGGCGACGATCCCCCTTTGGCATCCCAAGCTGTAGGTGTCGCCCACACCGTCCACGATGTGCGGGGGACTTCGCTCAGAGAGCCCGGAGGCGACGTCGACATGGCAGATGAGGAGGCAGGAAGGGCGGTGACTGGGAACGCGGAGAAACACCAGGACGACAACGTGGATGGGGCAGAGGAGGATGATAACGAGGGTCAGGAATACGAGGACCGTGGGAATCGTGAGGAGGAGGAAGAGGAGGTGGGGGACGAGGAGGAGGAGGAGGAGGAGGAGGAGGAGGAGGAGGAGGAGGAGGAGGAGGAGAAGGAGGAGGAGGAGGAGGAGGAGGAGGAGGAGGAGGAGGAGGAGGAGGAGGAGGAGGAGGAGGAGGAGGAGGAGGAGGAGGAGGATGATGACGGGCAGGATGAGTTATCGGCGTCGGAGGAGGAGGACGCCGATGTCGGGGAGGCGGAGAACCAGCAAGAGGGGGAGCAAGAGGAAGTGGTGGAGTGGGAGATAGTTGAGGAGGTCGTGGAGTGCGACGAAGGAGCAGCGAAAACGGGTGGGGGGTCGGCGGATGTTGTGAACGGGGGAGTGGATGATGCCGACGAGGCCGGCGTGGAGGCGGCACCCGGGGGGAGTGAGAAGGTAGTGGTCAGCGATGTGGTTGGCGTCATGAAGGAAGTTGTCGACCTCGATGCCGGTTATGAAGGGAATAAGGCTGCGGCAACGAAGCCGATGGGCATGGAAGGGCCTACCGAGGCCAAGTCCGTGGGGGAGCAGTCAAGGAAGAAGAAGGCGGCGCGTGGTCATCCCGGTTCCGCCGCGTCAGGTCGGCAAGCACCGCTGGACGTCGTCGAGCAGCTGCGAGCGGAGAACATGAGGTTGAGGGCCGACAACGCACGCCTGCAAAAGTCACTCGGTGACCAGACGGGACAGGTCGACATCTTGGCGAAGGCGGTAGCTGGACTCCTCAAGAAGCTCACGGCGCTGACCGCCCAGAACGCCGCCACCGATCAGAATGCGTCTAAACGTATCGATGTCGCCACTTCGTCCATGTCGACCACTATTGCCGACATCATCACCAACAACATCTCCGATGCCATCGACGCTACGAAGTCTGTCGGCCAAAGGGTAGTGGATTGGCTGAAGGAGATTGACGGTCCCCAAGGAACGATGGCAGTCGAACGCACAAAAGCGGTAACCTGTGTGGTCGAGCACCAGGAAGCTTTGTGGAAAGGCTTGGAGGAGACCATCATCAGCCACATCGGCGCTGCGCAAGCCAACATTGCCGCCGCGGTTTCAAGCAACATCGTCCTGCCGCCGCCGTCAACTCCTCCCGCCCCAACTCACGCCATTCCGGAAGAGTTCCTTAAGGCGTTCAAGGCCGACGTGCTGAAAGCGGTGATGGAGGTCACACAGCAGTCGTTTGTTGCGTCCGGGATGAAGGCAATAACCGAGATGATCGGCAATGCGGCGCCTGGTCGACGTGAGTCGTCAGGATGCTCAGAAACAGGGTCGGAAGCGGGGGGCCGGAGGCGGCGGGGGAGACGGTGGCGATTCAACAAGTGTTAAGCGGAGTAAGGGGGTCGACGGGAGCCGCGGCGTCGGCGCGGTGGGTCCTGGCGGCTCGCGGACTCAAGGTCAGAGCGTGGTCGACCAGCTCAAAAAGAACGGGGCCGAGGTGATAAGGTTGCCCCGCAAGGGCGATGGAATCTGCAGTGCAGACGGGGGCCCTGCCGACAGGGTTGCCGCCCAAACCGCTGTACCAAGAGGCCCGCCCTTGGTCCCCGACAAGGAGACCCCTACCGCTCAAGCGGCGGGAGATGGCGGCGCCGGAACCGTCAAGTGACCGTCTGTTGGGGTGGCGGGGACAACGTCGACTCCCCGTTACCCCCCTGCGGCCAGCAGCGCGCCGGTCGGCCAGTCAGCCGACAACAACGATGGGCCGGCCCTTGCGCCAACTCCAGCTCCAGTAGGCCGGACTGCTGCCGCGGGCGACGCGAAGGACGCTGCGGCTAACCGCGATGCTCCGGCCGCCAAAAAGCCGGATGCACTCAGAGAACTGCACCACCGCATGGAGGCCCATCGCAAGGACGTGCAGCAGCCTCCCTCGGTCGATGCCGCCCCTCTCGAAACAGCGCGTCCGTCGGTCGCTCCGCAGGTAGCCACCACAACGTCCAACGCCCCAACTACCACGCCTCAGGTCGCAGCCCGTCCTCCCGCAGACCCAAAGTCTGCATTGCTTTGCGCCCGGTTAGGCGCACGTAGTGCGGCTGCACCAACACAGACTCAGCCGGAAGCCGGCTCAAGCGCGAAGCCGACGTCGGTAGGCGTTGCGGCTCCCACACCCGGTGCAGCTGTTGTCGATGCAGCGGCGGAGAAGGGCGTGAGTGCAGCGCTAGCCACCGGTGGCGGAGGCGGTGACCCTACACTGGCGGCGAAGGGCCACGAAGACGCCGACCTCGCTGCCATCCAGAACCTATTGGAAGCGGTACATCGCCCCGGGCCCCCACCGGCGCTGGCCATCTCAGACACGGCGCATGTGGAGCCCTCGACGAGTCCCCCAGGTGGTTCGGCGCTGCCAAAGACGACCACTGGGACTGTCGGCGACGGAAAGGCGAAGCGGAATGGGAAGGCCGACACAGGGATAGGGAGGGCGAGCTCTCAAAGGAAAACAAGGGCGAAGTCGGCGGTGGAGGAGAATCAGGAAGAGAGGTCGGTCGGCGAGGGTACGTCGGCGAAGACAGGGAAGGAGAAGGCGGCGGAGTATCGGGATGAGAAGGTCGGGGTCGGCGAGGGTAGGCCGGCGAATAAAGGGAAGGAGAAGGAGGAGAAGAAGAAGAAGAAGGAGCAGGAGGAGAAGGAGGCGGAGGAGAAGGAGAAGGGACGGAAGGGTCATGGCATCCGCCACGACAGCTCGGGCGACGGGTTAGGGTGGGTGGGCGAAATTAAGGTGCTCAATCACAATCGATACATCGGCAAGTCGCGCGACAAGATGGAGCTGGCGTACCTGCACTCGTTTGCTTACATCGTCTACGACGGTTACGTCAGCAAGGTCCTCATGGACGAGCTCACCGGCTTGAAGGACGCCGAGATGGAGGAGTGGAGGAGGGTGTGGGAGGAGGTCAGGATCCTGCCGACAGAGATGTGGACGGTGATATGGGCACGGGGCGCATACCTTCCACAAACACGGTAGGTCGGCTACCCTTAGGTCGATTGCTGATGTCGATTTCGGAGTCCCTAATGGTAGCACCGTTTCATGTGACTGCGTGACAGGTTCGATGACATCCTCGGCATGTATCGAGCGTACAAGAGCTCAGGCGACGCGCACCACGACGCGCTCTTGCCGGCAATCTGGTTCCCCGTCGATGCCGACACGAAGGAAGGCCAGAAGAAGGCGGATGCTATGATGTCGGCCTTGATTTGTTGCATCTCCATGTGCGCGGCGTATGGGAAGGTCGCTGCGAGCGTTGCGGAGAAGACGGAGCTGGTGGCAGCTTGCGCCTTGTGGAGCTTTGTCGAGAACGATGACGCCGACGTGGTCGATGCTGTGGGAGAGGGGAAGGCGGCAGCGATGGTGGTCGGTGCGAGCGAGACGACCGCAGATGTCTTCAAAAAAGTCATGAAGGCGGTGCTTCAGGCCGAGATCGACAGGGAGCAACCCGTCGGGGAGGTCGCGCACAACGTCGCGCCGGCGCTGCAGAGCCTCGTCCTGCAAAGGATCTATCCGGGGAGGGATCCAGAAGTCGAAGCCGTCGTGATCGCTAGAGCGATGGTGGAGACCATGGCGTTTTGGGGAATGTGCCCCGTCGCCGGGCCGAAACTTGAGGAGGTCGGCATCACTGTGCCGTGTGACACGCAGATGGAGCACGATTTTAAAGAGAGGGGGAAGCAGGGGCAGAGGGGCAAGCAGGGCAAGGACAGCACGGAGAAGAAGAAGGGGAAGAAGGGCAGGAAGGGCAACACGAATGCGTAGTCGGCGCGCGGAGGGAGCGCTAGGTGGTATGATTGCTATGTTATAGTCTGGTCGGCGCAGTTTGTGCAGTTTTAGGAGTGCATGTTAGCTTTGGGAGTGCATGTAACTTTTTGGAAGTGCATGTGACTTTTTGGTTGTGTAGTCGGCGATGTCGACCTGAATAAGACACTATGAATTGCACTCACATGATACTCGATGAACCATGTCGGCGTTTATGTTGGAGTCCGACATTGCTGGTTTCGGATGTATGAAAGTATATTCGGGTAGTTTGATGGTCGGCGACAGGCCGCATTTATAATTGTTGGAACATACATGTTCGTGTTGGTTCACCGACTTCTTGAACGATATCAGCAGTACGTTTCGTTAAAGTCGACCACAATTACAGCATCATCAACCTACGCAAACACATATGCACCGGGTGTCTTTATGCCGCTTTCTTGCGCTTTGTCGGAGGACGATGCGCAGGTGCGGTCTGCTTGGCCAAGTCGGCCTCGGTCTTCGGCATCTGCTCCTCCCAGGTGTCTGGAAACAGGCGGGCGACCCAAGTCCTCGGCTTCAGCTCGAGCGCCACCAGCGCACAGGCGACACGGAGCTTCGAGACCACCTTGGGGGTAAGCCCCTTGACTCCCATGCCAGGCTCTTTGGACAACGTCGGTGCCGTTCCCGGGTTGAGCACCGTGAGGGCATCGCAGAAGGTCCCAATGCCCGGTGCCGCGATCTTGTTCAGTGCATCGACTACGGCTTCGGTGTCGGCATCGTCGTCGCTCGCGCGTAGCGGGCGCACCGCATCCATGGCCTTCAGCATGCGGCGCACCATCATGTTGAGTGCACCCTGCATCGCGCCTTTGAGGAGGGTGTGGCGGTCGATGAACCCCGGCTCGGCGACCCTGTCGCAAAGACGACGGGTGTCATTGGCGGTGGCAGAGTCTCAGAATAGGAATGCAACGGAATGATGAAACTAGGAAGTGTGGAAGTACAAATATGCAACCCTAACAACTGTACTCCCTATTGTGCTACTTACTGTAGCCTACAAGCATAGAATTACATTTGACACACCCCCATAGGCTAAGTGAGGGGCATCAAAGCAAGCAAGGTGAACAAACGGTCACAAGACCAGTCAAAGAAAGAAACAAGGCAAGCTCAGGGTGGATCTCAAGGACACCACACAAATTCCGAGCGCAAGCAAGCGGCCACAAGGCCAGTTCAAGAGTTCACTAGGATATAAATAGGAAGCACAACAAGCAGAGCAAACAACAAGACTACAGCAACCGAGGGCCTACCTCAACAAGCCCCAACTGCACACAGAACCTGTGGTGATCACCAAGCGCCAAGGCCTTGGTGAAGACGTCTGCAGTGTTGGCCTCTGAGGCCACAAAGTCCAGGCGTGCCTGGCCGCGTCGCTGCGGCTCTCGCAGGAGGAAGTACCTCACGTCAATATGCTTCACTCTGCTCTCCAGTCGAGGCTCTCGACACAGGAGGATCATGGCCTTGTTGTCAGCGTACAAGGTAGGTGCAGAGCGAGGCCGCTCACCAAGGTCGGCGAGCAAGAAGGTCAACCAGCGAAGCTCCTGTGCCGCCATGGCACCAGCGTAGATCTCTGCCTCTGCACTGGAAGTAGCCATAGACGACGACCGTGTAGACCTCCACGACACAGCACCAGCTCCCAGACTGAAGCAGTAACCCTGAGTCGAGCGCTGTGTCTCCACGTCGTCAGCGTAGGAAGAGTCGCAGTGACCAGTCAACGCCACTGGCTGAGTCCCTCTAAGCACAAGCCCCATGCCTGATGTAGTCGCCAGGTACTTCGCCACCCTCACAGCAGCTGTCCAGTGGACAGGGCAGTGTCTCCCAGTCGCAACAAAGCGAGAAAGGATGCTGAGGGGAAAGGCGAGGTCCGGTCGAGTACAAGTCATCAGGTACATGAGGCAGCCCACCAACTCTGCGTAGGGTCCACTGGACTCGAAGGGCTCTTCAGGAAAGGGGCCAGTGAGTCGGTGGTCAACAGCAAGAGGAGTGGGCTGTGTGGTGGAGAACTGGAAGTCGAACCGCCGAAGGACCTGCTGCACCATGTGTGACTGCGTCAGTGTGATGGTGCGAGCGGCTCTGTCCCTGGTGATCTGCAGGCCAAGGTAGCGCTGCAGCTCACCCAGGTCAGTGCACTTGTGTCTCTTCTGCAGTTTTGACTTCACCTGAGCCAGGGCTGCCCTGTCTGCGGTAGCAAACACCAAGTCGTCAACGTATACAAGGATAAAGAAAGGAGTAGAACCCACTCGAACAAACAGCGACGGGTCAGCGGAGGACGGGCTGAACCCAAGGTCACGAAGCGTGGAGCGAAGAGTGTCGTGCCACTCACGGGGCGACTGGCGGAGACCGTAGACTGGTCGCCTCAGGCTCCACTGGGTCCCAGGTGGGAAGGTGTCAGTGAAGCCAGGAGGACGGCGCAGCCAGATCTCCTCGTGCAGTCGGCGCTGGAGGAACGCAGTGGAGAAGTCGAGGGAGTGCAGCTCGTAGTCTCGCTGCGCTGCTATGTGGAGTAACACCCGAAGAGTAGTCATCTTCGGGGTCGGGGCGAAGGTCTGGAAGAAGTCAAATCCCTCACGCTGACTGAAGCCCATAGCCACGTAGCGCGCCTTGAACACCGGCGGTGCTCCAGGCGGCCGCTTCACCTTGAAGAGCCACATGCCATCGACTACGTTCGCTCTGGGAGGGGGAACTGCGTCGACGTAGGTGCCTGTGGATCTCCAAGACGCCAACTCTGAGTCCATAGCCGCTTTCCGCTGAGAGGCCCACGCCCCTGACACTGCCTCGCGGTAAGTGCGAGGAGTCGGTATGTCAAGGGCGTCGGGGTCTCCCTCAGGGGAGAGCAGCATGGCACACACAGAGGGAGAAGCGGCTGCCCAGTACTCCAGCTCAGAATCTCTGTCCTCTAGGACGTCACAGCCAAGGGCAAACCCACCCCCGACGGACAGAGGACGGTAGGGAGGAGCTGGCACCACCCGGGTGGCGTAGTCAAGGCGGCTGGCGGCAGCAAACTCAGCGACAGTGGCAGTAAGAGCCGAGGCAGACGACGGAGGGAAACGAGAGTCAGTGACAAGCGTGGCGAGGACACGTGCGGCAACAGGACGAACAGCGCGGTAGTAGTCAGTTATAGGAGTGGGGAGGGCTGGGAGAGAGGACGGAGGAGGAGACGGGAGAACGGACACAGGAGAAGGAGAACGACGACGGGACGAACAAAGGAGGGCAGTGTAGAGGTCAGTAATAGGGGACGAGTGACGAGCACGCGGAGGACAACGAGTGATCAAGTCGTGACGGACAGAGTGAGGAGGAGACCAAGGAGGAGGAGAAGACCAGACCGCCGGACGGTCGTCAGGAGGAGGCAACGGAGGAACAAACACAGGAGGAGACTGGGAGCGGACAGGAGGAGAGGAGGAAAGGCCAAGGGCCCGCAGGCCACTCACAGGTGGGAACAACTGCCGCTCCAGAGGAAGCTGCGGTGGCGGCTGCGGCTGCTGCTGCTGCAGCGGTGGCTGCGGCTGCTGCGGCTGCGGCTGCGGCTGCGGCTGCTGCTGCTGCGGCTGCGGCTGCTGCTGCGGCTGCTGCTACTGCTGCTGCTGCCGCTGCTGCTCCAGAAGGTCCAGCACCCGCAGCTCCTGCCGCTCCCTCTCCAACCGCTCCTGCTCCTCACGCTCACGCCGACGGGCAGCCTGGAGACGCGTGTCGTGGCGGTGGGGAGGCGGAGTGGACTCCGCAGAACCAGTGTCTTCAGCGTCAGTCTCCTCAGACTCAGCACCCCCAGAACCAGCACCTCCAGTGCCAGGACCTCCAACTCCAGCACCCCCAGAACTAGCACCGCCAGTGCCAGCACCGCCAACTCCAGCACCCCCAGAACTAGCACCTCCAGTGCCAGCACCTCCAGCTCCAGCACCCCCAGAGCCAGCGCCACCTGCGCCAGCACCTCCAGCTCCAGCACCCCGCGACCGAGCACCCCTAGACCGAGCACCGCCAGCGGCTGCACCTCCAGCTCCAACACCAACCGAGTCCACAGTAACCTGTCGCGGAAGTGCCGAAGGCTGCTGAGGGGACTGTGAGGAGGACTGCGGGGAGGGAGACGCTACCTGATGCGCGACCGAGGGTTGAGGGGTAGCGTGGGACACACCAGACGGGGCAGGACCAGGGGGGGGCGGGGGTACCGGGGGAGCAGGAGCAGGAGGAGGAGAGGGTGCTAGGAACAAGGGGGGAGGGGGTACCGGGAGACCTCGACAGGGGTACCGGGTGTAGTAGGACACAGACTCGTCAAACCGGACGTCACGGGAGTCTAGGAACTGGTGGAGGGGCGGGTGGTAAAAGGACCAGTCGGCAGAGTCCACTGGGAAACCAAGGAAGACACAGGGGACGGCGCGTGCCGAGAGCTTGTCCGCGGAGGTGTCGCAAACAAGTGCAAGGCAGCCCCAGACTCGAAAGGCCGACCCAACACCAGGGGAACCAGTCCAAAGACTGGTCGGTGAAGCCTCGGGCCGCGAGACACGCGGCTGGAGGTTCAGCTGGTGCGCGGCGTAGCGAACCGCGTGAGGCCACAGAAAATGGGGCGCACGGGCATGGATCATGGACGTGCGGGCGATGTCCATGACCAAGCCTATGCGGCGCTCAGCAACCCTATTCTGCTGTGGGGACTCTGGCAGCGTCCAGGACTGGGTGATGCCCTGTTCGCCGCAGAATCCGCCGAGAATGCCGGAGCGAAACTCGCCCCCACGGTCGGAGTGAAGACAACTGACTCGACGACCACGAGTGCCCTCAGTTGCTAGAAGCCACCTGATCAGCGTAGCAGTCACCTCGGACTTCTTCGCAAGAGGGAACACTATGGTGTACCTGGAGTAGTCGTCGACGACCACCAGAAAGTAACGCTCTCTCCCAGACCCCTGCGTCAGGGCAGGGCCCCAGACGTCCGAGTGGAGAGTCTCGAAGGGAGCGGTGGCCGGACGAAGGGAGGAGGAGTGGGGAGTGGC